CGTCACCCCATTGCTGATTCTGCCGATAGTATGCACCGTGCTTCTTCCTTTGCCATGGAAACAGGTTTGGATGGGACCCAAAAGGGTAACGGCTCTGCAGCTACCTCTCTCTTGAATTCAGGCTGCAGGTTTGCCTCCTTGCCTGGCTTGCAGGGTTAGCCAGAGCCCTGCACCAGTAGCCCCATGGCTCACAGCCTGATGGACCTCCGCTAGCCCTGAGTGGCGGTGAGGACATCTGCAGAGAACTTCCATCCAGCCACGGTGATCCCCCCACCATGGTCATGGTCAGCCTGGAGAGGTGGAGACACGCGGCCAGGCTCTGCATCGTGGTGAAAGCACAGAGCCCCAATCCCTCCAGCTCGCCCCGTGGGGTGGCCAAGGACCCATCCACCCTAGACAAGCTCTGGGATGGAGGAGTGGGGAGCAGCTTCCTACCCTGCTGGCAGCTGGGTCCCCTTCCCAGCGCGGGTCACTGCTGCTGACACAGTTTCTGTGCCGGCACAGTGTGCGACAGCGGGGCACGGCTGCCGGTAAGCAGCGTAAATAGAGCCTCTCAGATGTGGTTATTTTGTTTTTCTCCCATCTTCTCCACAGGGGAAAGCTGCGAGCAGAGCTCGCCGCTGGTAGTTCTGGTGCATCAGGAGAAAAGGGGCTCGCAGCCCAAGGTGCACATCCAAGTGTCTGCAGGGCACGGTGGGCAGCTGGGATGGGTCTTCCTCTTCCACTTGGCAGCCATCCTGCAGGTGGTGGGCACAAAAGCTGTGTCTGGCCCCGTTTTGGGGCTCTTCTGCCCATCAGCATCCATGATGCTCCCTCTGTGCTACCTCGTGAGCCCCACCGCCTGCACCTGTGAAGCTGCTCAGCTCCCCAGCTCCTCTCCATCCCTGCCAGGATCACCTCACCCTCTCCCAGCTTCTCCCCACCTCCTCCTCACCATCCTCCTGGCACCCTGCAGATCATTTTCCCCCTCAATTTTCCCTCCTCAACTTCTCAAACCCCGTTATCACGAAATTCAGCAAACCCAGGGCGTTTTGGAAGGGCTGAGGGGATCTGTGAATTTGCTTTGAATATAGCAACATGTTTTGGCTAAAGGGAACAGGAGAACATTTCGAAAATGTCAAAATATTTTGTTTAGGCATTTTTTAAACAAAATGTTTCATTTGGTAGTTGAAAAAAAAAAAAAAAATTGGTTCAAAATCTCCAAAGCAAAACCTTCCCCCTTTTGTTTTGAGATGGCACCTGCGTGTGAGAATTCAAACTACAAAGGCACAAGAGCCGTTTTCATTACTAAATAATGTCCAGGCACCCATGGGAGTTTCTTTGGTGGAAGTCAAAATGTTTCAAAGGGAGTCAAAACATCTTTTTATTTTATTTTTTGCCCTGTTTCACTTGGTGGTGGGGGGCGGAAAATCTGTCCTTGCTGGGGCTGGATCAAGGACTCCTGTTCATTTTTGTGTTGGCTGCAGAGTAGAAATATTTATGACAACACATGTGGCTTGCTAGGGAGCTCAAATCTACTTCTCGCATTAGAGAGGGAATTAACGCTGGGGTCAGGTCCTCCGTGGTGACCCTCTCTGTCTCTGCTACTCTACTTTGGCTTCTCAGCCCGTAGGGCAAAGGGGGCAGAGAAAATCTCCTTTCTCCACGTCCAAGTTTGCTCCAGCCGCTGCTCTGCCCTCGAGATCCTGTAGCTTTCTCTCAAGAGAGGCTGCAATTTCTTTGTGTTTATCAGAACCTTTTCTTATTTCCTAATGTATCTGGCTGTCTGGCCCTTGTCCTCCTGTCCTCTCATCTCCACTAGCTCTTCTTGAAGACCACCAGTGGAGAGGAGCCTGGAGTCACGGTCCATCTCCCCCTGCCCAGTGCTGGCTGCATCAAGACCCTTCTGAAAGGCCTTCAGATGACACACATCCCATTTTTTGCCTGGTTTTCTAAGGCAATGATGTGCCGCAGTCATGCCAGCTGCCTATTTGTCTTTCTGCCATCTGTCTGGCAGTCTCCCACAGAGCTTTTAGAGCCAATGAGTAATTTCAAGCAAACTTGCCTGGAGACTCAGAGGTGGGGAGTTCCTATGAGCACAGTGACAACATGGAGTGGGGCTGGGGGGACCAAGTGGGGATGGGTGATGTCATGGGGTTTTGCCTCCTGGTGGTATCTCCAAGGCTTGGGTGGCTCTTCTGGTCCGGCTCACCATGAGCTGTCAGATGTAAAAGTACAGATGAAACAAAACTATTCAAAGACAAACATTTTTATAGCAGCCTTCCAGTACTTAAAGGAGGCCTGCAGAAAAGGTGGAGAGGGACTTTTTTTCAGGGGATGTAGCAACGGGATGAGGGGTAGTGGTTTTAAACTGGAAGAGGGGAGATTTAGATTAGATGTTAAGACGAAATTCTTTACTGTGTGGGTGGTGAGACCCTGGAACAGGCTGCCCAGAGACATCCATGTGCAGTTTCTGTGTACTGAACCTGGAGAGTTTGTTTAACCAAAAATCATAGAATGATTAGGGTTGGAAGGGACCTTAAAGAACATCCAGTCCCACCCCCTGCCCTGGGCAGGGACACCTCCCACCACACCAGGTTTCTCCAAGCCCCCTCCAACCTGCCCTTGAACCCCTCCAGGGATGGGGCAGCCACAGCTTCTCTGGGCAACCTGGGCCAGTGTTTGCGATGGCTGGGAGAGAGGGACTCACTGTGACAGGGCCAGGGCTTGTCTGCTTACTCAACATCAACCCTTATTTATTCTTGCTGGTCATGTCCAGCACCTCAAACCCTCCCTGCCAGCTGGTCCCAACCCTGGTGAGTTTCCATCAAGAGGAGCTGGGCCAACTCTTCAAGCTCAGCCCCACCATTAGCCTCACCATCCCCAAGAAGCTCATTCCCATCCTTAACCCTGCACTCGCAGAGCTCCAGGATTTGGGGATTTTTCAGTCCCTGCCACTTTTCACATTGGGCCAAAGCAGAGGACAGGGCAAAGTGCTCAGAAAACACCATCTCATCGCAGCGAGGAGGAGGAGGTGGCCAGGACACTTGTCAGTGTTTGCACAATAACAGGAAGAAAAGTGCAAACACAGCCCTTGCACCAGGGTGGAGGACCGGATACGGGGATGAGTGTAGAGCCTCCCTTGGTTTCGAAGTTGCCTGAGAAGTTCTACTGTCTCCATGCTAAAGCTAAAGGGAGAAAATGTACAGAGGAGATTTGGCTCAGAGATGTCTTCAGTTCATCTTCCAGCTCACATAGTCCATGGTTGTGGGAAATAAGAGGTCCTGCCCGAGGCCTCCATCTTTGCTGTCATGCAAAGCTGATGTTGGGGGTCAGTGGCTTTTCTCATGGGAGAATAGCCTAAAAAATAACCAAGAGGGTCTTGGCTTCTCTGCAGGAATTGAGCAAAATTGGCTTAATGACAAGAAAAAAAACGGGTGGAAGAGGTTTTGGGCCACAAGGCCATTTCTGGCTTTGTACTCAGTCTGAGACCAAGGGAGACGGGTTTGGAAGTCTTAGCATGACCCTGTCTGTTGACGGTGCTTAACAGTAAAATGCAGCTCAGCAGTGGGAATTCAAGGGTCTTTGCCAATTTAGTGCCATGGCAAAAATATTAGGAGATTCATGTCAACATCTGGAAATGTTTCATAGGAGAGAAAAAGAATAAGAAGTAAAACTAAGTTTTCGTAAAGCAAAATTTGACATTTCTAGCCAGAACGTCCTCAAGTTCTTGTGTTGGGAGTGGGCTCTGAACATTCCTCCCCTGACAGGACCAGGCTTTTCTTCTCTGAGGAGAAGCAGCTGCTGGGCATCCACCATGGATAGGACCTGCTTTTGGCAAAAGTCAGGGAGAAGAGTGGGGATGGCAGACGGCAGAGCACCAGCTTCTGCTCCAGGATGCCAGGCAGCTGCTCCTGCCACTGGGATATCTATTGCTTATGGCAGGAGGGTACCAGCTCCAAAGAAAGCCAGGAGCCCCTGGGTCTTTCTCTGGGGAATCCTGGTGGCCTGTTCCCCATGTTTGGCTCTCAACATGCTCCTTCAACAGCTGTGAAAAGCAAGGGGTGATGGGGAGTAGCAGTTCCCCACCAGCCATTGCTACTTCTTCTTCCATTGGCCAGACATGACCCATCTTGGTGCTTGGATCACACCTGGAACCCTCTTGCTAGGACTCATCTTTCCACCTCCTTTTACAGCTCCTTTCACCAGCACCTGCTGTGTGACACCACCCCAGTCACAGGCTTCCCCACTGTCCTGGAGTTCAGCTCCCAGCAATGGCACGTATGTGGCATCCCCCATCCTGCAGCTGTCTGGTGCAGCCCTTCCCTTCCCTTCCCTTCCCTTCCCTTCCCTTCCCTTCCCTTCTTTTCTTTTCTTTTCTTTTCTTTTCTTTTCTTTTCTTTTCTTTTCTTTTCTTTTCTTTTCTTTTCTTTTCTTTTCTTTTCTTTTCTTTTCTTTTCTTTTCTTTTCTTTTCTTTTCTTTTCTTTTCTTTTCTTTTCTTTTCTTTTCTTTTCTTTTCTTTTCTTTTCTTTTCTTTTCTTTTCTTTTCTTTTCTTTTCTTTTCTTTTCTTTTCTTTTCTTTTCTTTTCTTTTCTTTTCTTTTCTTTTCTTTTTTTTCTCCCTCTCTGTCACTCTGAAGACAATAAATACCTCCTTATCACACTGCTATTTGTGCCTATAGCTTAGCAGATAAGATGGCATGTTTGATTAGGCTCCTAAAGCTGCAGTGATGCCTTGGTTCATGAGTGGCTTATTTTCTCTCCGTAGCTGCCCTCCGTAAAGCTGCCTATGGATCACACATCGTCAATGTACTTGTGCCCACCCAGAGCAGCCTGGCAGAGCAGGAGAGGAGGGAGATGTATGGACCAGCAGGGGTTTTGGGGCTGCCTGTGGCCATTTCCCCAATCTCTTCCAAGATGTTGGGGCCAATGTGAATGTCCTGCTGCCCTGGAGCTGCCTTCTCCATCCTGCAACCTCAGCAGCTCCTGCTGGGCTCTGCCAGGAAACCTATCCTGTCTGGAGTTTTCCCAGTGCAGAGGTAACTGGGGCTGGTCAGAGGGGCCCTGAAGCTGGCACCTTCTCATGCGAAAAGGTGGAAGGTGGCAAAAAACATATTTGTAAACGTGGCACATTTATTATTGTCTGGAACCAGGAAAGGGAGAGGAGAAAAGGATCCGATCCACTTGAGAAAATGATGATCCTTTGGGGTGTGAGTGGGAGGAAAGGAGTGCAGCAGGGCTCGTGCCCTGCCTCCACACAGAGGACCAGGCTATGCTCTTGCACTAGCTCTCCAGGAGGTCCTGGAGATGGTGAAATACTCTAAAGGATGGCCTCCATTAATAAACACAGCTAACATCAGTGCTGGATGCACAGGCTGCGAGGAGTCTCTGGAAGCTGCACTAGAGGACCTTCAGTGATCCCTTCCAACCTCAGTTATCCTCTGAGCCTTTGAGATGGGGCTTAGTCAGCTGTTGGGCCACCAGGCTCCCCAAGACTGGGTCTCAAGAGTTTCTTCCCCAGGAGCCTCGCTGGCAGCTTTCCCCGCTCACCCTCCTGCCTGAGCACAGCAAGAGCCTTCACGGGCAGGGAGGGCTCTGGCCGTGCTTCCCTTTGAAGACGCCAGTGATCCAAGCAAAACTACTTATTTCAGGAGAAATAAGCCCAAGTTTTGATTTTCGCTTTGAGTCTTTTGCTCTTCAGAGCTCTCCCTTTTGAGATCTGCCAGGTTGCAGCAACGCTGCCATCGCCATCGGCCACCTCTGATGGAACAAATGTTCCCAGCTGTCATCCGTGCCAAGATCAATTTTTTTTTTGGTTCTGAATTTTCATAGAAAAGTTGTTTTTTCAACTTGAAATCTCAAGCTAAAACTGTTTATAGTGTTGACAGTCTTCTTTCCAAATTCCAGCCAGAAGCTGGCCCATTTGTACCCAGTAGGAGCAATCAGTCAATATGTAGAGGCCGTGGCTTCCCCCAAAGCATCACCAGGCCCCAGAGCTGAGCTGGTTTTTAGTAACTCTGCTCAACTTGGCATCACGGAGAGCTGGTTTGTTTCTGCCAGAAAGGAGCAACAAGGAAACTCCTGCGGTTCAAGTAACGAGAGAGAAAATCACCTGCAAGGGCACGTTGGGGTTAGGTGTGACATACGTAGGACAGCGGGTCGTATATACCCGTGTATATATAAATACATGAGCAAACAGACAGGCATGTGTGTGTGCATGTATATATTGACATTGCCTGTATCATTTGTGCTGTCTCCCATTCCTGTTAACGCAGGTCCAGAGTTAATATCACACAGGACTTGTCTGAGCACCGCTAGAGGCCAGTGTGTGCCTTAAATAAAGAGGCTGATGCACTAATTAACAACCGCCTGTTGGGAGGACAATGTTTCTTGCCGGATGAGGTCTTATGGCACTGGAGGTGCTGGCCAGGTCAGGGCAGGTGGTTGTCCACCGCTGGCAGCCTGGAAGGATGGGTAAAACCTTCCAGGTCTGGGCCCTGGGTAATCCTGGTAACTTCTTGGAGGATCCCGCTGCACCATGATGGTCGGAGCATGGTCCTGCCTGGGACCTGCTGCGTGACACAGCCACAGTGTCCTCTCCTTCAGCCCTGTGTCACCAGGCAGTCATGTCCACCGGGGTCCAGCCATGTCCTCGACGTTCTTCAGGGACCCCTGGGACATGGTGGTGGTGGAGGAGGTCCCACAGCATCCCCTCCCCATGGCACTGCCAGAGCTCCAGGCTGGAGATGGGCAGACAGCTGCCTGCCTGGTCCTCTGGCTGAGCTGCAAGTGGTGGGTTTTGGATGGCCCTGAGAAACAAAATCAATTTCTGAGAGGAAAAAAAATGGAAGACCATTGCAAAGCTTCGTTTAACTAAAGATGGAGTGCTTCGTGTTGTTTCGCAGAAGTTTTCACCTCGGCGTCAGCAGCAGCAGCAGCAAATTGAGACGCCTTTCTCCATACGAGATCGTTTCGACGCGATAACAGCGGAACCTTCGTTGAGTGAACGACAAAATGAAACACGCAGCCTTTTAAAAACCTGTTCTGAAATGGGTACCTTTGTGCTGGAATCATTTTCCAGCCCCAGATCCATCGGGGGTACCTCTTTAGGTGATGGGGAAATGATGATGGGGGGAGATGGGGGTCGAGTCGGGGAGGGTGGCAGGGGGTGGGAAGCAGGGCTGGGAGGGCAGCGAGGAGGGAGTGATTTGCTGTGTGAGCTCTTCGATAATGCGGCTGTGTTTTGGGAACTTTTCATTTACAGCCCATGTTTTTTAAAACCTTGTTTATTGCTTGGCTGCTTTTATCTTTGGGAGACAGAGAATGAGAGCAGAGTATTGCTCCTGTGTGTAACAACTTCTCTCCTTTGGCCAGCCTGGGGGAAGCAGTGAGGTTTGGAGTACAACTTCATGTCCTGTTAGAAGCCCAAAACTAAATATTCGATCCTAAGTCCTTTTTTTTTCTTTCTTTCTTTTCTTTTTTTTTTTTTTCTTTTTTTTTTTTTTTTTTTTTTTTTCTTTTTTTTTTCTTTTTTTTTTTTCTTTTTTTTTTTCCTCTGTGGAGCAGAAATAAAGACAAGAAAGAAAAGCAAGGTGATATTTTTCTCAGAATCCTTCCAAAATCTTTTCTTTCTGCTCTTAGGTATCTGCTTGCACTCCCGTTCACAACCTGGAAGAGCTGGGATTTTACACCTTGAAACAGGGTAAGGTCCCAGGAATGACCCCTTGGGTTGGGACCCAGGATCCAACCCAGTGCTCACAGGCACACACCAAAAAAGCAAGAACAGGGCAAGTGTAAATGATATCCCATATTCACCTTCCATCTATTTTCAGATCAGGGGATTCCACTGCTTGCTTAAAAATCAGCATTTTTACCTGCCCCATGCTCCAGAGTAGCTACTGGCAAAGAAACCCAGGGATTCAGTATATATATAAAAATATATATAAAAATACATATATAGCCCAGTGCCAACACATCTCACTCAGAATCGCCCTGAGTGACCCGGGGTAGAGGAACTGCCAAAAAGCAGCAGAAAAGCCATTCAGGAGGGGTGTCTTGGTGGGAAATTGACCCCCATCATGCTCCTGGAGCACTCACAGCCGTTGCCGGAGATGCGGCAGGTTCTGAGCTGGTGGAAACTTTTTCTGTTGAAATCTGATTTCAGTTGGAACGGGACAACCCCCGAGCCAGGCTGGGGGTCTCTGCTGCCTGAAGCTTTCCTGGTTGGAGGCCTCTCGGGAGCAGATCGTTTGTTTAACCCAGGACACTTCAGCTGGGAAATTTCAGACTGGATGGACTGCCATTTCCTGCAGGACTTTGCTCCCTGTGGCTCCACTCCAGCGTGGCAAGAGGAGGGTCAAGGAGGGAGGAGAGCTGCTGTCCTTTGCTCTAGGAAGCTCCTAGTGCCTTCCTGGCATCCCCATGGGAGGGGTGCAGCATCCTCCCGTGGCTTTCTGGGGATGGCTGCATCTCTCAAAGAGGCTTTGCTGGGCACCACGCAGGGGTACTTGTATCCAGCAGCACATCTTTGGTGGAGATCCACTGGGTCTCAGGGACATCTGCCGCTTTGGTGTACACCATCTGAGGGCTTTGCCCTGACAGCCTCAGCTGGCACAGTCTGCTGGACTGGCCTTGCCACCCCTACTCTTCTCCTGGGCAGTTGTCTGTAGCTGGCAGTAGGACTGGAGCCTGAGGAGGATGCTTCTCTCACCTTACTCAATGCCCATCCTCTTGCAGGACCTGCTTCTGTGAGCAAGGAGCTCCTGATTGTCACTGTGTCCCATGGATGGAACACAGAGCTGCATTATCCCACGATAAGCAGCCCAGCAACTGCCTCTTCTTCCTCCTCCAGGGGAGGAGGAAAGATGCCCCATGGCATCATGTGGGATTTGTGGATAACCACCATCCTGGTGACCCCTCCAGCCTGGCAGCACTGGAGCCTGGGACCAGCACAGGAGCCCAATGGATCTGTAACCCTATTTTGCTTTTTACAGAAAATCCTCCCAGGGGAGGACTCAGGGTCACCATGTCAGGGCCAGAACAAGCGGGGAGCAGCCCTGAGAAGAAACAACCTTATTAGATCCACCTCGCTTTCCCCCAAATCCCAAAGCACCACTTGCTGCTGAGAACGGTCTGATGGAGGATGCCAGGAGCTGCACCCTGGGGACACACGTGTCTCAGAGGCATTTTACAGACAGTGCTGCTCCCATCACCGACCCATATCCAGGGCTGTGCCAGAGCTGCAGGAAGGAGCTGGGTCCAGCTGGGTGTCTGGAAGAAGCGCGGCCACACAGGGGTTAACTGAGATCCTCTCTCCTGCCCGTCTGCTGAAATCCACTAACAGAATTAGCACTGGAAATTTGTGCACTGTACTATGTGAAAAAAAAAAAAAGAAAAAAAGAAAAAAAAGGCATGAAATATATTTAATCTTTCATTTCAGAATTGCGTTTGACATCTAAGTTAAATAAAATGTTCCTGAGGTCATTAAAAATCAGAAATAGTACAAGATTTGGGTTTACCATAGTTTCAGAATGAATCAGGTTTCTGAACTTGTTTTAATCTCTGTATAATTGCTTTTCTGTATACGGTAACCTTTAGAAAATGAGTTTAATAATTAGTCATCTCAGACTAGTTAAAGACAACATCCTGCCCCCAGTTCAGTTTTATTTTCAACAAAAACCCCATGCCAAAGTAAATTCTTCACTGTAGCCGGGAATATAGATACGGGCTACATGTTGGGCAGGTGAAACAGATTGCGTTAAGCCCCCGAAGAGTTTGAAAGTTCAGCAATGCTCATCTTGATGGCTTTTCACTTTCCCTCCACAAGAAGTAGAATGAGAAGTGGAACACATCAAGAAG